GTCGGGCATGATGGGCCCCCAGAGTCTTAGACAACGGAGCATGTCCCTGAACAGCCCATTGGGCTATGGGCCTGGAAGTATGGCCAACATGCCCTTTTAATCTGGTTTCTCTGTAAAACTGTAAAAACCTTGTTTCTTATTGGCTATTTCTTATTTGGACATGTTTTTTTTTATTGCCACTGACTAACTGTGGCAATCAGATGCTAAACATATTGGTTTTAGTAATAATTTCTTGATGCTGAAGTTATCTTTTGGTGAAAAGAAAACTGTTGAGGGTTATCATTACAGTTAAGTAACACAATCTGAAGCCATTTTTTAAGATAATTGTAAAATATGTATATTTCAGATCAATGTGTTTGATTGCAAAGGCAAAAGGAAAAAGCCTCTGGGTTTCTATGTTCTAATTACATTCTGGCTACCAAACTGTTGTGGAAGGTAATATATAAATATCTATATATAAATATAATATATATATAGTTGCTGTAAATAAGATGCAATTTGTGCTTGTTTGCAACTGTTCTGTATACTGTGTTTTATTAGAAATCTAATAACAAATATGGAAAACAAATCAGTTCACTTACTTTGTATTGACCTTGTTTGATGTGTGTGAGGGTACATTTTTGACTGATGATCACAAAAAAAAATCAGGACATAGGATTATATCACTTTTTATTTGCATTTGTTACAAAACCATTTGTTATCTGGTATTTAATATAACCCATTCAAAACAATGCAAGGCACTACAACATTTCATTTACTATGCTTAGCTTTGCCTATTAATGAAATTCAACCTCTGACTTACAGATTGTCCAAATTTATATGATTTCAAGTGATCACTTTGTGCATTTCGTCATGTGCAGTGATAGGCTCAGGATGCAGGTAAACTAAATCACAGATAGTTGGCAATTTAAAGATTTAAAAAAAAAAAAAATTACAAAAATGTCCAGCTGCTATTAGATGTATTGGCTACTTGTTGTAGTAGTAACAGCCTCTGAGACAGATACCCTGTTCAGATTTTTTGTGCGCTGACCTGACAGGCATACACGCAGACACTTTATCTTTGCAAGCAACTGCAGGAGGTCTCTTCGGAAACGGACCCCAATGAAGGCATACAAGATAGGATTCAGACAACAGTGGGAGAAGCCAATGCTCTCTGTGACTATTATCGCCTGTTTCAGTGTGTTGCGAGTATGACAGCTCTTAGGCACAGCATCCAACACCACCAGGGTATGCATAAAAATGGTGATGTTATACGGTAACCAGCACAGGCAGAAAACCAGTGTAACCAGTAGGGCCAGTCGAATTGCTCCCCGTTTCTCCAGACTTCTTTGGCTTTTGCAAAGAGTGATGATTACAGTAGTGTAGCAGTACCCCATGATCACCAGAGGCAGAAAGAAGCACAGCAGGTGTGTGATGAAGCGGCTAGTCAGCATCCAGTTGTTTGCATGGATGGCATGGTTGTTGTAAGAACAAAATAGTCTGGAAGGGTTGTTCTTCTCTTTCTCCACAGACAGGAACACCATATTGGGAATGGTCACAAATAGACACAGGAGCCAGAGCAGTGCACAGGTGAGGTGAACGGTCTTAGGCCGACGGGTCTGGAGACTGGGGATGGCGTGCACAATGGCGAGGTAGCGATCGAAGCTGATGCATGCCAAAAGCAGACTCCCGCACACCAGATTTAGGCGATTAACAAGGCCCAATAGCTTGCACAGGAAGTTTCCAAAAAGCCATCCGGCCACCCCTTCAGTAACTGCAAACGGTAAAGTGAAGAGGAGGAGCAGGTCAGCCAGTGCCAGATGTAGCAGATAGATCTCTGTGATGCGCAGGTTCCTCCGCCGTTTAAGCAGAACGGTCAAAAGGAGGCCATTTCCTGTTAGGCCCAGGAAAAAAACCACACCATATACAAGAGGTTGAAACACGGTGTGAAACCGATGCAGTGGGTTACTTTCATTGTTGCAGGTGTACATTACTCCATCAGGAGGTCCTTCCGTCACATTCTCATAGTAATTTAAGTCAAAATCCTGAAAACAGACATTCAAATCATTTGTATATAAATCAACAACATTTGATTTCTTTTCTGGACACCGCACAATTTACAATAGATGCCCTCCAACTAATCGATCCAATCAACTGATTATTATTTTGTTAATAATTTGCCTACTTAAAGCTTATTGCTTAATCATTTGCCATTTATTTATTTAACTGGAAACAGTTGCATATAGCAGTTTTATAGCCGCTTATGGCATTTACAGGAAGCAATTTAAAGGAAATCTCGCTTCCTGTTTTTTTCAGTATTTAAAATTAAATTAATTATTATTATTAATGATAATAGTAACAACAATAGTAATATAGCAAACTGTGATTTAGACAAAATTATTCACACGAAACAATCTAAAGCTATTTAATGTATTTTTGCTGTTGTTCTTAAAATGTACAATTCATTTGATATCGTATATTTCTCAATTTATTTATGACAGGATGCAAATTAAATCAATGATGACTACCAGTCCACAGGAAACATCTTACCATAACTTATCATGAATAAACAAAACAAAAAAAGTTGAGAGTTCAGAAATACTCACTTCAAGAATGATGTTCTCTGTTATTTGATTCATGTTTGTGTTAAAGATGGTGACCATACTATTGTCTCAGAAGTGTGCGTCCTCCACTCCGAGCTTAAGGAATGCAGTGTTTCAGTGATAAAACCCCTCTGAACAACCAACCCATGATTTACGCTCAAGACTCAAGTCTCAAGTCTCAAGACACGCCTTTTTAAAATATACCTCCT